ACCCTGGGATCATGACCTGAGCCGAAGGCAGACGCTTAACCATCTGAGCCACCCAGGCGCCCTAGGTGAATGGCCTTTATAACTAAAAAGGTTCTCTACCTTGGTAGAAATTTGGGCTGAGTCCTGAGTAATTTTTCTGGTCGCAGGGCCAAAATCACAGCTTGCCTCAAGATAGTCACATAATCTCTCCTTTCACATCAGCTTCACAGTGTATAAAATGCAGAAGGATTAGTATTTGCTTGGGGTAAGGTAGCCCTGGACCATGGGTCAAACCTTGCTGGCGTGGAAGAGAAGAATGCATGGCAGCATCTTAGACAAAAGGAGATTCAGGGACCCCAGGATCCTGTAAGAGCAGAGATCTAATGTAATCTGGGACTTGGGACCAAGTTCAGGCAGTATACGGTTCCCACAGGTCCTCACTTTATTGTATGGGATTTGGAGAGCTGAGAGTCATCATGAAATGGTGGCTTCAGGGGCACCTGATGTCATTGCAATCCTTTAGACAATTCATATCTTATTTTTATGTGATTGACCAGGGTATAAGGCCTATAAAAGAAAACTGTGGCTTCTCACATTTGTTCCATTCATACCTGCATTTTGCCATTCTTTGACAGCCAACTCTGTAGCAGACAGTATTCATGGTACCCAAATGTGTGACTTTCAAGCTTTTACCCTTACTGGGCTAAGTAGTGAAAGATCTGCAAACAAGCAATTACGAGATGGGACTGGGGTGTCCCAGGTGCTTAGAGAGCTCCAAGGGGGCTGGCCTGACTGTTGAGGGGATGGAGGGGGGAAAAATTCCTTCAGGGAAGGTGATATCTTTGGGAAACCTGAAGGCTGAGGCATCGGCAGCCCGGCTTCCAGCCCCAGCTCTGCATTGGCACCAACCTTACCTTGTTTGCTGACTCACGGCGGGCGAGTGGCATCTCTGACATCGGAAGGCAGCACCCACCCTTCCTACCTCCGGAGGTGAAGTGAGGTGGCAGTGAGGCTACTTGTGAGTACACGCACCTGTCCAAAAGTTCTTCCTGAGCCTGGCAGCTTGTGTTTGCAAGATGGTGGCTCTGCTAGGGCTTGAACCCAAACCCTATGAGGTTTGGGTTCAGTGTGTGGCTGTGAACCTCACATTTGTCTTTGTTAGACCGGTATAGCTGAGTCCTACTGGTCATGACCTTGACTTTTTTCCCTGACAAGAGTCTCTCATTAGTCTCATTGAATAAAGCCCTGTCTTTCTCTTGCTAATGGTATGGTTTTGCAGAGACTACTTAACTAATCTGAGCCCCGGGTTTCTTTTTCTTTTCTTTTTAGTTTCAGAGATAGAATTCAGTGATTCATCAGTTGCATATAACACCCAGAGCTCAATACAATAAGTGCCCTCCTTAATGCCCATCACCCAGTTACCCCATCCCCCCCCCACCGACCTCCCCTCCAGCAACTCTGTTTGTTCCCTAGAGTTCAGCATCTCTTACAGCTTGCCTCCCTCTCTGATTTCATCTTATTTTATTTTTTCTTCCCCTCTCCTGTGTTCATCTGTTTTATTCCTTAAATTCCACACGTGACTGAAATCATGTGGTATTTGTCTTTCTCTGACTTATTTCGCTTAGCATAATACCCTCTAGTTCCGTTCTCATCATTGCATATGGCAAAATGTCATTCTTTTTGATGGCTGAGTAATATTCCAGTGTGTGTGTGTGTGTGTGTGTGTGTGTGTGTGTGTGTACACATACCACATCTTCTTTATCCATTCATCTGTTGTTGGACATCTGGTGAGCCCCAGGGTTTTTATCTGTAAAACGAAGGGAACGGTACAAATCTCGTAGGGTGTTGCAAGAAGATAGGAGATAGTTTGTATAGAACAGCTGACACACAGTGACTACTTGAATAGTTGCCAATACTGGGAAGGAGGAATAACCCAGGAAAGGTCACAGAGAATTAGGATAAGCCTCCTGCTTGCCCACTTTTTGTGGTGGTTCCTGCTGTGATTGAAGTCATGCTGCTCACATAGCTCATGGGGTGGTTGGGAGAGGATAACCTACCCTGTTGCCCATACCTGTAGTATCCAGGTAGTTGAGGTTGGGGACACTCTTAATTGCTATCATGTATTCAAAAAATACTGCTGTACTATTCAGGTCTTTAAGAGGAAGGAAATCTGTCACATGCAGCATCTTGAGTGAACCTTGAGGACATTATGCTAAGTGAAGTAAGCCAGCCACAAAAAGACAAATACTGTGTGATTCTGCTTTTATGAGGTATCTAGAGTAGTCACGTTCATAGAGACAGAAAGTAGAATGGTGGTGCCCTGGAGCTGGAGTGGGGAGTCGGGGAGTTGTTTAACGCATGTGCAGGAGGAAGAGTTCTGAAGATTATGCAACAATGTGAATGTACTTAACGCCTAAGATCTGAACACTTAAAAATGAGGAAGATGCTAAATTGTATGTCTATTTTACCACAATTTAAAGTAACTTAAATGGTTATTAAGCATGTGCCAAGTGTCAGACATTATCCTGGCACAAGGGGAGACAATGTGAGTAAAAACACACATGGCCCCCATCTCTTGTTATGGAGCTTAGGGGCTAGTAGGGGAGACACATGTCAAATGGAGAATGACTTTAATAGGCAAAAGTGCAACCAGAACATGTTGCTACAATTGGTACCATGAGAACTTCCAGTCGGGGAACCTGACTTCATTAGGGAGGCCATGAGCCAAGGCAAGCAGGACAAAGGAAGAACACTCCAGGAATATGCAGAGCATGAGCAAAGACAGTGAGAAGGGAGGATCTGCAAGAAGGCCAGTGTGCCAGAAAGTAGAGGGTGGAAGGAAGCCTATGTGAGAGGAGGCTGGTGAAGACCAAGGGGCCAGACCACACAGCCATGATGGCCGTAGTGAGGTTTGTCTTTCTTCCTGAGAAGACTGGGAAGTTAGCTGTTGAGGGTTTGAGTGAGGTTGGGGAGATAGACAGAAAAGCAGGTTTGTGTTTTGAAAGGGTCAATCTATAGGAACATTTTTTTCTTGCAAGGAAAAATCTTATCAAACGCTAACAGGTGTATCTCAACTATCCATGTGGAAAAATTGATCGAGTCTCTTAAGTGTTTCTCAGGCCCTTGTGATAGACCCTACCCTGATGTTTGCAGGGCCCAGGTAAGAGTCCACATAGAAACCCACATCCTGTAAGTTGAAATAGTGACAGATTATAATCAAGCTAACAACCTGTTATCAATCTGTTCTATCCTCTTACCATGATGAACGTATCTTCATAACTAAAATGTCAAAAAAGGTGTGTACAGCTCTGGTTTTTATGTGACTCAGGGTCAGCAAAGTATCAAAGATGATTGAATTTATAATTGCACTGTCTGGGTATTCTGTTGGGCCAATGAGATATGGGTAAGTAATAAAGATTTTATAATTAATAAATCATTTCCTATTCCACAGTTTTTTGCTGCCCTTATAGGAAAATCACTAATTATATTTTAATTAAGATCTTCATGTAATTTGTGTTCTTTTGACAGAAATACTGAGACAATTTTTTTTGCACTAGATTTGTTAAAATATAATTTGAATACTGTATAACTCACCCATTCAAAGTTAGAATTTATCTTGAATCATTTTAGTTCTGAGATAGTTTCTCATTAATTTCAATCTGAAGAAATTTTACCCTGCTGGGGGCACATCAACCTGAATTGTTACAGAATTCTTAAAGCAATACAGAGATTTGAAAATGGACCACAAGTATAACATGACTTGTGGTTGTGAGTTTGGAGGAGGAGGAGCAAGAATACAAACATGGTAATGGGATTTCATACAATAAATTATCCTTTTTTACTGAGATCTAATTGGCATGTAACATTATATTAGTTTTAGGTACAGTAAATTATCACAGGGAATGTTAGAAAATATTTTAATTGCATCATAGAAATCTCTTTCACTTACACTATAACTGTCATTGTCCTTTGGAGCAATATCTCAGTCTGATAGTAATGTGAAGTCCTGGCATATTTCACTCCTTACACCTGGACATCTCTACTGATTTCAGGGCAGTAGGAATGGTTTGATACTGTGAACTGTTCCTCAGCTGCCATGTGCAGGGTCTGTGAGTTTGGAGGAGCTCCTGAACTACAAATTGGAATGGGAGGAGGAGCAAGAATACAGACAGTGGGCGCAACTGGGGATGGTGATTGATTGTGCAAGGATCACTTGTATTCGTGTGTCCAAAAGGCGGGAATTGACAGGTGAATCAGACTTTTATCCTCCTGCTCAAATGCTCTCTGAGTTCTGAGGCAGCCCCCCGTCACCGTCACTGCTGTATTGGCAGTGATGAAACCCTCAAATGTTCGGGGCTTTCAGACCGTTGCCAATTGTCGAAGGAACTTAGGACAAGGGGTGTGGGGGAGCAGTTCCCTGGGGCCAAGACAGTGTTAGTTACAAGAGCTGATGGTTAGAATTACTCCAAGGGACAGAGACACTCGTGTACCGCTAATAAATTGTGTGTGTGTGTGTGTGTGTATGTGTGTGTGTGTGTGTGTGAGGGAGAGAGAGAGATATAGATCAGGCCTTCCAAAGCACAAGGTACAAGATAGGGATCCCTCTGCCTGGGGTCTAGGATACTACTACTGGCAGGCCCTTTCCAAGTTCAAGTTCACCCCATCAACCTAGTCTTCGTAATACAGACCAACAACGCCAGGAGGTGTTGCCCAGTGTGCTCCTTTCTTTCTTGCCCAGTGTGCTCCTTTCTTTCTTGCCCAGTGTGCTCCTTTCAAAGACCACTGACTGTGTTTTCCCCTTACGTTGTCTTACCAGGAACTGGTGAAAGTGGCAAAAGCACCTTTATCAAGCAAATGAGAATCATCCATGGGTCTGGTTACAGCGATGAAGATAGAAAGGGGTTCACGAAGCTGGTTTACCAAAACATATTCACCGCCATGCAAGCCATGATCAGAGCCATGGACACTCTGAGGATACAGTACGTGTGTGAGCAGAATAAGGTAAAGCGCCGCAGGGGCACTGACCCTACTTGTGGATGCATGCTTTCCTTCTCTAGATAGCATATGGCTTTGGACAGAAAGATTGATGGAGTGCTTTGGTCAGAAGCCAAAGAAGCTCTGGAGCTCAAACTCCAGAAGAATGTGATGAACTTTAGCTCTGTACAGTATTGTGGTGGTCCCCAGTGATTCAGAAATGCAGGCATTTAGATTGATTTGTTCGGGTGCTGAGAAAAGGAAGACACATACGTTTACTCATACAGCTAAGATGCCCCATTAATTTCTCCACTGGCACAGTAGAAATCTTGGGCTTTTCCAGAATGCCCAATCTTAGGAAATAGTGTCATGAATGCCCTGCAGACCACTCAGAGCTATCGGTGGGTTTTCTTTCTTTATTTTTGGAGCTAAGTGATGGTTTAGGAGCGTGATGCTTATGTCCCAACTAGCATTAGGCTCTCATAAAGTACTAGTATCAAGCTGGTATTTGTTTTGGTATCACCACTGGTCATTTAAAATACAGTTATGTTTCAGGGGTACCTGGGTGGCTCAGTCGGTTAAGTGCCTGCCTTTGGTTCAGGTCATGATCCTGGGGTCCTGGGATCGAGTCCCGCATTGGGCTCCCTGCTCAGTGGGGAGTCTGTTTGTCCCTCTCCCTTGGCCCCACCCCCCACCTTGTGCTCTCTCTCTCACTCAAGTAAATAAATAAAATCTTTAAAAAAAATACAATTATATTTCAAAACATAGGAAAATAATGAAACAAGAATGTGGGAGGAGGAGGCAAATAACAATTGTATATGGTATACTGGAAGGCAAATCCACTGGAAAATTCTGAGTTCATTAAGAATCTAGATCAAAAATAGTTTATTTAAAATAATTGATACCAAGACACAACAGGACATCATGATAAAGAAGAATACTCTGTCTCAGATGAATCTCTTGTGGGTCTACTAAAAAGAATTTAGCTGCTAAAGTGCCAGCATTGCTTTAGTGCGGCCCCCAAGGACAACTTTATCATGAACTTGTAGCAACTGTATTCATGTATATTTTATATATGGTCTACAAAGTTTCAAAGCAGTCAATCTAAGTTTTTTATTATTCAGTGACTGAATTGCATAGGAACATAGGATGCACCCAATTTTTGACTTACCTTTATATTGTGTTTGCAACCTCATGTCTTTACCACCATTTTCTTACACTTTTGAAGAAATGGAGGAATGTATCTTGTTTCAACCTTCAAAAATGTTGTGCTGAAAAATGTGTGTATGTGGGGTTTGGTTGGAGAATTAGCCTTTAGAATATCTGGTGCCAAGCAATGTAAGAGGTGCATACTGAGCCATTGGGAGTTTCTAGAAGTGACTGATGGTTCTGTGATACATTGTTTGGATACATGTATTGTATCTGATTGAAAGTGTACAATTCTGGGGCACCTGGGTGGCTCAGTTGGTTGAGCGGCCCACTCTTGGTTTCTGCTCAGGTCATGATCTCAGGGTCTTGAGATGGATCCCTGTGTTGGGCTCAGTGCTCAGTGGAGAATCTGCTTGAGATTCTCTCCTTTTTCCTCTCCTTCTGCCCCTCCCTCTGCTCATGCTCTCTCTCTCTCGCTCAGATAAATCTTTTTTTTTAAGATTTGATTGATTGATTGATTGATTTGTCAGGCAGAGAGCACAAGCAGGGAGAGCGGCAGGCAGGGCAGGCAAAAGGAGAAGCAAGCTCCCCATTGAGCAGCGAGCCCAATTCAGGACTCAATCCCAGGACCCTGGGATCATGACCTGAGCTGAAGGCAGACGCTTAACCGACTGAGCCACCCAGGTGTCCCAACTCTCAGATAAATCTTTAAAAAAGTGTGTAATTCTTTTTTAATCACTTATGCAGTTGACCCTTGAATGACACGGGTTTGAACTGTGTAGGTCCACTTACATGCAGATTTTTTCAATAAATACAGTACTGTAAATGTATTTTCTTAACATTTTCTTTAGCTTCTTTATTGTAAGACTACAGTATATAACAGATGTTCAAAATATGGGTTAATCGACTGTTATTGGTAAGGCTTCTGGTCAACAGCAGGCTATGTAGTTAAGTTTTTGGGGAGTCAAAAATTGTATGCAGATTTTTGACTGTGCAGGGTAGGTGCCCCACCTCTTGCTCACATTGTTCAAGGGTCCACTGTACAAAGTATTTTAAAAATTAGGCCATCTGTGGAAATTTCAGGTTATTTCAGAAAAGAGGTATGTCAGGAACATCCTTGCAGAGATTTTAGTTAATCTATTTTCCTGTGTTGTAAAATGCATTTTGTTTCCCATTCATGGAGGGGTGATGGGAGAAAGCCTGGAATTTAGGGGATGGGCTTGTAAACAGATCCACTGGGAAGAAAAAGCTTAAATGTTAGTCAGTTCTGCTTACCTTGGCAACATGTGTTTGTAAAACCCAATTAGATCGAATCATCAGGGACTCTGGGTTTCTGTTTCATTTTGTTTTCCACCAAGGTCTTCTAGAGGTACTCTGAGTTTATGTTTTAAACAAGAACTTCTTTATGGGGTTTGGCGCTCCACGACTTCCTCCTTTTCTCTTGGTCTTGATTCTTCTTCAAAGGCCACTCCTCTGGACCACTAATCTGCATTAGTTTCCTAGGGTTGCTGTAATAAAGTACCTTAAACAGGGTGGCTTAAAATGGAAACACATTCTTTCATGGTTCTGGAGGCTGGAAGCCTGAAGTCAAGGTTGATTGGTTCCACCTGGAGGCTCTGAGGAAGCCTATGTTTCATGCTTCTCTCCTAGCTTCTGGTGGTGCTAGATATCCTTGGAACCCTTTGGCTTGTAAACATGTCACTCCAGTCCCTGCCTGTTGTCACATAGAGTTCTCTCCTGTGTAACTCTGTTCTCATGGCATTCCCCTCTTTGTGTCCAAATTTCCCTCTTCTTATAAGGAGACCAATCATTGGATTAGAGCCCACCCTCATCCCAAGGATGACCTCATCAGAACTTGATTATACCTACAAAGGTTTCTAAATAAAGTTACTATTTCTTTGTTTTACAGTCCAAGCAATCCTTTCCTTGCTTATTACTATTTCTAAATAAAGTTACTTTCTGAGGTATGGGGCTGGCATGAATTTTAGGGGGACATTATTCAACCCAGTACAGTCTGCCCTTTGCCCCCCCATTCATGTTAATTCCACATGCAAAATATATTTGTCCCATTCCAGCATGAACTCTAAGTCTCAAATCTAACTGAAATCTCAACTCAGAAGTTTCCAAATCTCATCATTTAAATCATCTAAATCAGGTGAGATTCTGGATATGGTCTCTGCTGGGATCAGATTCCTCTCCTGTCACCTCCTCATTTGCTGTTATCTGGCTCCCTTCTCAATGCCTTCTTTCTTTCTATTCCAAGTACCTACATTTATGCTTTGTGAACTTCCTCTTATCCCTCAAAAAAATGCTTGGGATGGACCACAGGCTTACAGAGAGGCACAAGGTTGAGTAGAAAGAACACTGGATTGGCTCTCAAAAATCTGGACTCTGTTTGTGGCTCCCCTGTGGGTCTTGGACAAGAGTCAGCAACCTTTTTCTGTAAAGGGCCAGAGAATAAATATTTCTGGCTTTCAGGGCCATATAGTCTCTTTTCTGCTCTGCTGTCATAGTGCAAAATCACCCATAAGAGAGGTGCCAACGAGTGAGTGGGCTCACTTGGAAACTCTATTTGCAAAATGTAAATGCTATTTACATTATGAGCCATACAAAAACAGGCCACGAGTGGATTTTATCTGTAGGCCGTGGCTGCGCACCCTAGTCCTCGGGGAGGCCATGTAACCTCCCTGGTCTTACATTGTCCCAAATGTTAAATGCAGACAACACATGCTCTATCTACTTCCTAAGCCAACATGAGCAAAAGGAAGTGCTCTGCAAATGGAATGGCACTCCAGAAATACAAGATTATTACTGGGGCAAATTCAAAAACCAAAAATGGACTTACTGTTTCTAATATTACTTGCTTAGGTCTTTGTTGTCCATTCCTTCTTTGTTGTTTGCCGAATAATTTTTTCTGTGAAAAATGAATTTTTCCTTTCCCGATTCCAAAGGTGAAACTGTAACAAAGTACCATGCTCAGATCATAAGATAATAAAATGATTAGTGTTCATGTATTAAATCATGAGTTTAGGAAGCATGGTACATGTGTTCTTTACCAAGTATCGCATCACTTGAAACAAATGATTAGGAGGGAGAGGAATAGAACCTTAAGGAGCTTTTTGTTTTACAGTCTGAGCAATCCTTTCCTTGCTTATTACTGACTATTTAATTCCATTATCTTGTTTTTTCAGAGGTGGGAACACTTTCTTTAAAGTATGTAGGAAAGAATTAAGTGATTAGGGAATATTTATTTATTTAAAGTAGGCTCCACACCAAATGTGGGCTTGAACGTAGGACCCTGAGATCAAGAGTTGGACGCTGTATGGACTGAGCCACCCAGATGCCCCTAGAGGGTCTTATTTTATTTTATTTAAGATTTTATTTATTTATTCATGAGAGAGAGAGAGAGAGAGGCAGAGGGAGAACCAGGCTCCCCAAGGGGCAGGGAGCCCGATGCAGGACTCGATCCCAGGACCCTGGGATCATGACCTGAGCCGAAGGCAGACGCTTAGCCATCTGAGCCACTGAGGCACCCCAGAGGGTCTTATTTTAAATGTTAGCCATTTGATTGCTCAGCTAGGTTGTTAAAAATCTTTGCCTATTACTCGATAGGCTGCTTATGAGAGGAATTTTATCAGAAATTCAGTTCAGCATTTGGTTTTTAACCAACATGTTTTTTTTTTTTTTCAATTAAGATATATAACCTGGAAGATTATTTTCTTATACCTTGACTGTTTTTTTTTTTTTTTTTAAGAAATGATTCATATGTGTTTGCTCACTGTGTTGATAAGCCTTAATTTTCATGAATGTCTCTCAAGAGTGTCGTATGAGCACATAGTAGAATTTATGACTTTTTGAATAAATATTACAAAAGTAAT